GCAGGCACTGGGGGCGATGGGAGAAGCCCCGAGCGGGGTTTCTAAGGCAACGTGCCCGCCTGGCACCTGCTTCACCCCTGGGGCTGGGGCAGGGCACGGGGCACCTGCGCTTCCAGGGGTCATGAGCGGGGCAAGGCGCGAGGGCCAGTCAGGTGGGGGCGGTGGGCTGGGGACTCGGAGACCCCTCGCTCCCCCGCTTCAGGACAGCGGCTCCCAGTCTGCGCCACGCGCACCCCCGGTGGCATCCAGACAGCTTGTCTGTGGTAGGCATGAGCAGTTTTATTATAACTATACCGCACCGATTTGCTGGTGGTGCTTCAGGTCATATTGTTTTAAATGGGTGGTGCGCAATCGGTCAGAGGTTGGGAGAGGAGCCCGTTCTGGTTCGGACTTGCTGTGCCCAAAACACGACAGCGTGTGTAGATGGGGCTGGATGTTTGATCGTGGGGGCCAACATGAGATGGCTCCTTCAGCTGCTGATGCGATACTGGCTCCTTCTTATAGGAACTGTTTACAGGGACCTTGCCGTTGAAGCTGGCAGTCAGGCTACGCCTGCGCGGGCTAACCTCCCGCTGCCTCCTCTGAACAACTCCCTCCTGCAGTCGGTGTGTTCGGTGTGCATGAGGGTCTTTCCTTTAAACAAGTTGTGTTGCTTCTGGGTCTTCTGTGCAAGCCCCTGTGGGCTTGCTGAGTCCAGAGGTCACTACCATATAGCATACCCTAAGAATTTTCTTTCACCTCCATCTCGTTGCTGCCTGTTAGACTTCATAGTTCATCAAGTGTGTTGGTCTTCAAACCACTCTTCTACTACTTGCATTCTTGGTGGAGGACTTGCTTCTACCCCCTTCCAGCCCTCTGCTGGATGCCGTCCTGTCGGTCCTTGGGATAGCTCAGAACGTTTTCTCTGACCCTCCTATACCAAGCCAGCTGATAGCTTTGGCCACATCTGCCAGGATGTGCCCCCTCTGTCTGCTGCTACCCTTTAAATGTCTGCAGTTTCATCTCTGCTGTTGTTCTAAGCCTGTAGTACCACACGTGGCACACCTTTCTGCAGTTTTGCTTCCTGGCGTTCACCACTACTTTGTGAGACTGCTTGGGGTTTGGGCCCAGACAATGCTTATTTCTGTGTATAGTATAGTAGCCTCAGACCCTTCTTTGTTGCAGTAGGCTGCCTGTCTAGTGTGGCATTCTTTTATCTGTGTTGCTGGACTCCCTTGACATCCTTTGGTCTTGGCATTTCTTTAATGGCTCTCTGCTGTTTGTAGCTGTGGTAACTTCCAAGTGTGGTATAAAGCAGCATTTCTCAACCCGCGGGTCACGACCCAAAAGTGAGTTGCAAGAATATATGAAAAGGCTGCTAACAAACTTTAAAAATGGATTTTCTTTTAAAGGCGATAAACGTGGGAAACCATGGCTTTTCTCTGGCAGGCTGGCAGAGTTCTAGTCTGCAAGGGGCTGCCTGCTTCCGTGGCCCCACACACTGGGGGCCTGGGGATAGAGGGCAGTGGGTCAGGAGTGAGGGGCACTGGGTTGGGCCTGGCCATAGATGTTTACAAATGGGTCCTGGTACACAAAAGGTTGAGAACCACTGGTATAAAGGATGTTATTTCTCTTTCATTTCAGCTGGTTTTCGTTTACCCTAGTGTTCCACTGCTCCTGCCTAATTAGCCATCATTACTAGTTGGTGTCATGGTGCTGGATTGCCATGCCCTTGGCATCTCCTTGTACAGGAAAAATATCATCTACAACTTTTGTTTCTGAGAGTCCCTCTAGTGCTTGATA